TTGTTATAATATCTTAATGAATATAATTTGCAGGAAAAGTAAAATCAGTTCATGCGTACGACTTTTTCAAAAAACAGTCTCCATCTAATTGCGACATCTATATTACGAAACTTTTTCCTTAATTTACACAATAACAATAACCAATAGAAAATTTTTCATTTTGCAGAGGTTTAACCAATATTTCCCATTTGTGATTCATCTCGAGCCAATTAGTAAAACATGTAAGGGCGAGCGAAGCAAAGGAATAAATACAGAACAGAGCAATTCATTTCAGTTGAATTTCGCATAACATCTATATAGTCTAGTCTCTTGTTTGTAGATCGATTATTTATCTTCTCTTGTATTTAACCAAAATTTTGTTGTGTTGTTTATTATTCCTATTCATATCGATCTGTGTTTAATAATGTACATATTAAAAATAACAAAAGAATGAAGGACATTGATATATATGATTTATTGTTATTCTTAATTACATATGATGGTTAAACAAAAATATTCGATTTGATTGTTTTCTTTTTGCCTTCTTTTTTTTTTTTCACTGTTTATTAAATTATTTGAACAAAAAAATAAAATTAATACTCCATGCAAAGTGATTCGTCGTCGCTTGAAACGCTCAAAAACAGTTTATTGAGCGCCGTTGATCCTGATTATAATGTAAATGTTGTTTTATTTTATTTTATTTTTTTGTATTTTTCTAAATAAATTCACAAAAATTCTCTTTAGGTTACAAATCCAGAAATGGTCTTGGATATTATTTCCCAATTAGAAAAAATTCCAATAACTAGAGATGAATTACAAGTTTGTTTTTATGGATTTTTTTTTCTATAAATATATATATATATTAATAAATATTTCTTTCATCTAGACAACTCGTCTTGGTCGGGAAATAAATACAATTCGACAAAAGATAGATGCACGAAAAAAAAGTGCCCAATCAACATCAGATTATCCTCAATCTATAATTGAAATAGCTCAACGAGCAAAAAAACTTCTACGATCATGGCAAGGTTTACTTAATACATCACAAACTGATAGTAATATTTCTTTATCATCTATTCCACCCCCACAACCACCACCAATCTTGCCATCACTTCCTATTCCTTCGACTAATGGCGAGGTCTATGAATCAAAATCACCTACATCAGAAAAACCTCGTTTAATACTTAAAGTTAAAATAAATCCATCAATAACAACAAATAGTAATGATAAAAATAATAATACACAAATCAAACGTAAACATGATTCAGAAATTAATGGTTTATCAACGAAACGACGAAAAGCTCATATTGAAACACCAATAACATCGCCACCGCCACCACCACCATCACTACCATCATCATCATCGTCATCAATACCATCACCAGTAAGTCTAATTGAACCAAGTAATAGTTTACCAAGATTAAAAACAACTCAACAACTTCTCATGGAAATGCAAATGAATCAACCTGATGTTTTATCAACACAAACACCCACTGTTAATGCTATTTTACAAAATCAAATTATTGATGAAAGTTTACATGATAAAGGAAAAGTTGATTATTCAGCTTTACATCATGGAAGAGATACAACTAGTTCAAATGTCAAGTAATTATTGTTTAATTTAATAGGAGATGAAAAAAAAAATTCAACAATGCTTTCATTCAAATTTTTCTTTACATACAATCAAATGAATCTCTTTTTCACTATTACTGACGGTTTTCAAATACAGACTTCATTATATCGCATGACATATTACTCATAAATAATAAAAAAAAAATTTAGAGAATAACAAGAGGTTGTATCCTTATTTGTATTATAATGTTTAGTAGGAAGAAATCGTATTATTCTCTCTACTTTTATTTTTTCTACGTATGAACATATATAACTTCAATTATTGTCCATGTATTCAAAACTTCTTTGTATCTAAACAAATACTTACATGATAATTGACGTTATATGTGTTCATACATAAAAAAATAAAATAAAAGAAAGACAAAAAACATGATTTCTTCTTACTAAACATTGTAGATAGGGATGAGAAAGATGGTCTCGGTCTTGCTCATGTTTAATAGAAAAAAAAAAAGATAGACTTTTTTTTGCGGTTTGATGTGATTTTAGTTCTCTAAACTTTATTTATTATTTATAATTAATAATTTATGAGATGCAGTCAAGTCTGTACTTTCTCTCGATAGATTGATTATTGAAACAGAAAAATGCGGTCTACAATAATCTTATGCAAAAATAATAGACAGAAGAAAAATTCAATTGAATCACATTGTATTTAAAATAGTATAGCATATCATTACGATTTCGTTATTAAGGAGTAATTAATTGTAATTAAGAGTACTTTATTCAATAGATCATAATTGCTCATGAGAAAGTATTCATTGCGTTGGTTTTTAATGAGAATAGATATCTGAGCAAATTTTAATAGTGAAAAACTTGAAATAATTGACTATTTTCCTAGAAATATAAGATAATTTTTGTAGAATTTACATATATTTTTGAAGAAAATAGTGAGTGCACGTTTAAATTGAAGTTTTTACAGTTACCTTCTTCCAGACCCTAGTAACCGAAAGTAGAAGAAGGAAAGTCAAAAATCATTGGATGCGTTTTTATAGCAACAGGAAAAAGCAAATCAATAATAACAGTGCTTAGATCATTCTGAAATTTTTTAGAATTTAAGCTTTCGACTGTAGATTTTAACTAGTCTAAATATTGCGGCTTTTGATATTAAACGTAGCGAAAGGACCTTATTTTAGGTGTGAATCAGTAGGGCGGTGATATTTTTGATCGAACAGAGTCAGACTGACATAGGACAGTATGAAACTAATTGAATTCTAAGTTAAAGCAAAACTCAATAGTAGATGTCAAAGTTCCTGGAGAGAAAGGACGATGTGCTCAGAAGTTCACTGAACGAATAAATCAATGTGCATAGCAGGCTAATATAGTGATTGAGTCGACGAGACGAAGAATAAAATGATATTTGCCGCTTTCTATGGCATGTATTGGTTATATTATCATATAGAAGAAAGGAAGTTATGTATAACAGTACAAGTTTATGAGTTCCATACTTTGATCCTTCATATGGCCATACTGGCCAGTTTTTCTCATTGAAAATCATATAAAATAGGAAGTTTTCTACATTGTGTTCCAAAAGTCTAAACGAAAAAAAACCTGTGAATTCGATCCTTAGTGATTCAAGGGATTTAAATATTTTTTTTAAACAGTTTAACGACATAATCACCTGAAGAAGTAATAGTTTTACTTATGACCAAATTCAAGTCAGCTAATATTATAAAACAAAAGCTGTAAGTCGAATTCGACAAAACCATGTCCTGTATTAGAACTACATTTCAGCAATTTTCTGAAACTAGTACTGTCGAAAATCGATGACATTCTTGAAGATTGTAGAGTCATTTCTGAAGAAAATATTAAGAATGCTTGTGAAAATATGCTAGGATCAAGTATTCGATCCATTGCACCAACTTACTCATAACTACAAATACCAACACATCGGATTATGACAGAGAGCATCTCTTATTAAAACTACACAAGGTACAATTTGTTCAACAATTCTACGAAGAACAGTCACGCAGACCAAACATTTGATGCTGGCTCATTTTTACAAGTGTCATTAACTTTTTCTTCAGTGATTACTCTACGATTTTTAAGAACGTCATCGATTTTCAACAGTACTGATTTTACAAAGTTATCGGAATGTAGTTCTAATATAGGATGTGTTTTTTTTCTCGAATTCAACTTGCAGCTTTCTTTTTACAAAGGTAGCTGAATCGACTTTGGCCATCAGTATAACTATTTTAATTCTGACTTCTTTAGGTGAATATACGATGAAACTGTAAAAAACAAAACATTTAAATCTCTCGAATTTTTGAGACGTTCTTCACATTTTTCTTTCTTATTCAGAGTTTTGAAAAAAAAAATAGCAAGAGAAATCGAAAGTAAATGCAATTTTTTTTTGTTTCTAGTACTAACTATCAAAAACAATTACCATTTTCTACCCTTCCAAATGTAATATCTCCTAAAAATTCAACATTATCAACCGGTTCATCATCAAAACGTCCACCAGGAGGGCTTGCACGACGCCCATCATCAACATTATTATCAACAAATACAAATTGGGAAAATGGTAGTAGTGCTGGTGGTTCACCTGTTTCTCCATCGTCATCATCATCGTCATCATCGATAACTAGTACAACATCTTGGCCTCTTTCTACAAACATTCCAGAACCACCATCATCTATACCTGTCATTCCAAAAAAGAAACGTCGAAGAAAACATAATGATCTACCGCAACAACAACAACAACAACAACAGCAACAACAAATTGAATCATTTAATATCGAACAGTCAACACCATTATCACCTGATTTAGCAACAATATGTTCATCATATAATACAGTTGGTGAACTTGTTGAAGCTCATCGTCAACGTATATTAGCTGAACATGATAAAAGAGAATTAGAAGCAAGACCTGATTTACTATTGGTACCTATTGAACAACTTGCTTTTGTTTATGAACGAGAAAGGACTAAAGAATTAAAGTTAACATCCGAATCTAAACAAACATCATTGACAACAGTTGATAAACTTAATCAACCATTTGGTCTTATTGCTTTACCATTTATTGATTGTCCACTTGACTTTGATCTCGTACTTGATGAACTAGTCGTACAACAACCGACGATGGATATGTAGATGTTTTCTTTTTTTTTTCTTTTTCTTTTTTTGTTCTTTCTTTCCTTTTTTTCTTTCTTTCTTTTTTTTTCAAAAGCTTATATGCAGCAAACAAACGAAAAAAAAAAACCAAAACAAAACAAAAACACAGGTGTTTCAACAGTTTTCTTTTTCTTTCTCTTCTTCCTTGTGCGCGTGTGCGTGTTTGTTTGTTTGTTTGTTTATTTATTTTTTAAAAAAAAGTAAAGAAGATAATTCTTGAGAGAAAAAAAAAAAGACAGCCCACATGTAAAAGATATTTATTGATATATATGTATTATATTCTATTCAATTAGATTTTGATAACGAAAACAAGATAGAGAATTTTTAATTGGTATAATTAAAATATTTGATGGCAATGATTGTTTTTCATCATGATTATTATCATCATCATCATCATCGATGGATAATAAATGAAAATGAATTAATAATTGAAAATATTTATGTTGTTGAAAATAATTAATTGTTGACGATAATGAAGGATTTTTAGTTGTAAAACTAAAAAGAAATTAATTTTATAAAAACATAAGTTAAGTTAAGTTAAGTTTTTTTTTCTTTCCACTATAACATTTAATTATATCATTCTTAACAACTCAGGATGTTATCGATATAAATTCTAATCAAGATTAAAATAATAATTAATCATACAAAATTGTTCTAGATGAGATATAATCAGTGATTAAAACTCAAAAATGAAAGTGAAATTACGAAAGATGCATACGGTGATTCTGAGGGCGCTAGATGATGGTGTGATGTGAGAATGAAAGTGCGAATGTGGTGAGGTCGACAAGGTCCATTTTGTCTTCAAACCTTCATTCGTCGTTGCGTACACATTTTTCGTACATCCACGCTTTAACCTTCTATTGTCTATTTCTTTCATCTCCTATAACTATATATCTTTCTAGTTAGTTTGTTGTTTACCTTTTTTCTTCTCATGTTTAGATTATTACGCATCTTAATTTATTATTTTCTATTGTTGCTTACCTTTCTCTTGTGTGATTAGTAAGCATAGAATAAAATAGATATTAGATGATTAAGCGAAATGTTATTTTGTCGAAATATCGAAAAAAAAACAAACAATTGTTTGTCATAGTAGAATATTCTATGGATCTATTATTTTTTAATTTCCAGTAAACTTCTTTTACAATAGAAGACTTTAGGTTTTGTATTATGTTCAAATATATCATGTTTTTAAGGCGATGTTCTATTGTGAGAGAAAGAGTGGTTATTAAATTTTCATGTTGACTTACAAAAGACACACGATTTTTAGTGATTGAAAAGTATTGAGAATAATTGATAATAAATCTACATTAATATCAATTAATTCAAGTGCACGTAATGATGTATGAGGGAGAAAAGAACAGAATTTTAATATTGTACTATTTAGGCTACATATTTTTAATTTCAACGGAAGATGGAATTGTTCATTAATATGATTCGATGATTTGATAACTAGAGAAAAAAAAACATTCAAATGAAATTGAAAATATTTAAGAAAAAAAAAAAAAATTTTACTTTGTAATGAAGTCAAATCTAGATAGCGAAGTGTATTCAATTGATCAAAAAAACTTGTTAATATAGCATGATCACATGTCGAACGACGTAATATAACATTCTTCAATAGAATATTAAATATGAAAATTTTTATCAATTAAACTTTAAAAAAAAAAAAGTTGTACTTTTAATGATTGTTTAGCAATAGGAGACAGGAGAAAATGAATATTAGTACAATTTTCAAACCATATTGATCGTAGACGTTCAATAAAATAGACTAGAATAAAAGGAAATATAAAAATAAATTTATTTGAATTGAATATCTTAATTCATACTATTGTCTGGAAGACCTTGAATTAAATACAAATTGTCAAGAGTAAGTGATTTCAATCTATAACAAAAAAACAAACGAATATTTAATATTGAAAAATATTATTCAATATAAAGACGAATATCATATTGACAATAAAATTTTATATTTCTTGTTATTTAATAAAAATAAATATCTTATTAATGAATTAAATTATAAATAATATATTCTATATGATCACAACATATCAATATCAAAGTTGGATTAACAACGGAAGGAAGTTAGTCTTAACAAAACAAATCATTCATCTATCAAAAGTTATCTTAACAAATATTTATATTTGTATTAAATAGTTTCTTTCGAAAATATTATAAGTCGAAGTTTAATCTTTGATCGAAGATTAATCTAATGAATATTTACTTAATCTAGTAACATTGATCAAACTTAATGAATAATAAACATAGACATATTCATTCAATCAATTGAATATACTAATCAAAATAAAGAATGCATAGTTATAAATGTCTATATATTTATATCTGATATTTCTTTGTTTTCTAATGAATATAAGATCGAATTACTGATGATATCATTTACTGTATTATATGTTATAAGCTTTTTTTAATTTTTATTTGATATCACAAAGTAGTTTTATTAATTAAAATAAAATCTAAAATCCTTTCAGCAATACAAGACTTTGAGTCTTCTATAATTTTCAATTAAAATGATTTTACAAAAAAATTAAAATAATTTTGATAGCTTAGAAAATAATGTTGACTTCAATCTGTGAAATATTTTTTACTTCGAGACCACGAAAACTGAGTGTATTTAGATGTAAATATACTAATTCAAGTTCTCATTTTTCAAGAAATCAATTAATTAAGTAAAATATTCTATTATAAGTGTTTGCAAAAAAAAAAACTTGCACAAATGTAGAAAATTTTTTTTTCCTAGTATTTTCATATTTTATAGATCTATAGGCTTCATTTTTTTGGTATTAGTTTATTGTCAGATGATACAAAAGTGATTGATTTTTTGTTTCAGATATATAAGAATTAAAAAATATTTTTCTTCTCTCTTCTAACTGTTATATATTCATATTACATTATTGAAGCAAAGCTATGAGATCAAATAAAGTTGTTAAGGATGAAAACAAGGATTACCATGTCAACTCTCTATGTATAATAACAACAAATTGAAACCAATAAATTTAGTTGAGTATCGAAAGAGTAATAATCGATGATATAATCTCAGTATAAAAGAAAAAAGAGTTGTTAATCAATATATTCATTACAATAATTAAATAATACTCAAAAAGATAGGGCCGCCAGTTCAGAAGTACAACTCATCGAAGGTGGCGCCACTTGAAAACATATATAGACAATCCAAAGAGATGCAACATTCTTCAATTATCTATTCCTTTTTATAATGAAATTTCGTGAAGACTAGCATTGTATAATATACTCGTAACTCTGAATACATCAATACTATTACTAGACAATTTATTAACGATTGTACATCTTAAATAACGGATCAGTTCGCTTTACAAACTAAATTAAAATTAGATAGAAAATATGGTTGACTGTAGAAAGGTCGAAAAGTACTTTAGATTATGTTGTTAGAATTATTAGTGTGATCTTGACGTGCTCTGTTAAATCTACTATCTTAAAAGCAATAAAAATAATTCGCTAATTAAGACTAAACATGCAAGGAAAACAATATTTGCTTATTCATTTCATGTTCACTGAGTAACACAGCTATTGCTATAATCGAGGGTATGGCTGTGAGAATGAATTTTCTTTTCATTAACATCCATCAAGAAAAAAATTACCATTTACTAGAAACATCACTTTTGTCGATATTTTTCGGTTTCGATCTTTCTACGATACACCGAAAATATTTAGTCAGACATAAAATAAAATATCAACGAATTCAAATGGTTTTTTAATCAAAAATATTTAAAATGTTGATATAATTGTACGTTGTTTAAGAGTGGGAGATGTTCTCTGTTGTAATTTCTTCGATAAGTGAATGGATAAAATTTTAAATTATGATACAATACAGTATCGGTTAAGATCTACCATTTGAAAAATGAAGTAATTCAGTCAGGTGTATATAGAAAACATATCCATAAAATAAGATGTGCAAGTTTTTATTTGCAAACAGTCTTGTACGTCCGATGCATCGATCCTCCAACGAGAATGTTCTATTTTTGGAAAGGCTTTAAATTAAATCTTTTTGTATACTCCTTTACTTACGGCTTTTATATCTACTGAGTACAAAAATTGTCTTTAAACATTAAAAAACCAAATTTATGTTCCAGAAACAGCAGATCGTATTTTTCTCAAACCAACTTCTTCATAAAAAAGAAAATTCAGAAACACCCATGTTTCTCCGGTCTAGTACATTGAATCAAGCTAAAACTTTTCTTCATATATACTATACACTGTATAGGATGGATATGTTCTTTTGCTTCAAAAAAAACCATGCGTCTTTTTAGCGTACTTTCAATATTTTGACTTTTTTATTCGAAAGACAAAAATAAAAAGATATCCACCTCGAACAGTATCTAATACCTGTCAAAAAAAGAAAAAGTTTAGCTTAATCGAACATAGCATCCGGGAACTTTGAGTCTAGAAAAATTTTTGTTCTATACACCAAGATCTACCTGCCCTGAAAATTTCAATTTTTTCTTGATCGGTCGTTCTCCGAAAACTAAGGAAAGGATATTCTTGATAACAAAACTTCGTGTAATGTTATTTTAATATCATAGATAATGAGATCATGTTTTGAGAATTATCGGAATATAAGTTCAATAAAATTTTTTTTAAATATCATTCTTTTATATTTATTTATCTTTTGTTCTAAACAATCGAGAAGTTTACATTTGATATAGATTGAGTTTTGAAAATAAACATATGAACTAATTTCATAATTATTAATACAAAACACATAATAGGTAAATAATAATCAATAGGTGATGTTTCTCCAAATGGTAATAAAGTTAAACCACGTCTTTGAGCATCTCTTAAATGATGTGTTGACCAACCAAGAAAAAATATTATTGAATAATAACCATTTTGATTTCGCCATAGAAAATATTCAAAACTATAAACAATGAAAGTAATTATTAACAATAAAAGACTATTATGAAGAAAAGGTCGATTTTGTCGTTGATTATTTAATATACGATTTAATGATAACGAACGTATTTCAATAAAATGATCAATATCAATAAAACAACCAGCTATAAAAGCAATGATTAATAATGAATGTCGAGTCCAACCAAATAGAAAACCTGTCGCAAAAACACTAATTAATCCATGAGTGAAATTATCAATTAAAGCACGAAGATACATATTTGAAACAATATATATTGACAAAGGTCGACCAAAACATAAACAATCACCAACAAGACTAACAAAACATAAACCAAATAGATTCAATCCATTGATTAATAGAATAGGTTTTGATGGAAACATTTTACTATCTGCAAGAAAAATTATCACTTCATACATTCAGTTCTATATTATTATTTCTTAATTTATTATATATTAATGTTTAATTCAAAGAGATTTTATTTTTAAAAAAAAATTTCAAATTAAAAATAAATCTTTTCTATCAAAAGTTCCACCATAAGTCAGAACAGAAGAATAATGTTTGTTTGTCGCACAACAGCATGATATATAGTCGGCTTGAAGACATGTATTGAAACACATGAATATTCATTTATCATTTGGTTTTTAGTATTAATATCGATCTACTTCAGGATTTAGAGTCTTGTTATTCCTAGTTACCACATTAATGTTTATATCAATGAGTAGGAACATAAAATATCGTACACATTTAATACTGTAGTCTTCCATTATTTTGATGATTTTATATTGTCTTAATAAACTGTGTGTAAAAATCTGATCAATTTTCGTCAATTTATAAATCACTGAAGAGAATCAAAATTCTCTTTGTTCTCGCTTGAAGTTTGTTAATTGGGAGTGAATCTTTGACGAAGACCAACACTGGTGTCTGTATATAGTTCAGATTTTTTATATTGATCAAAACTGTCTCAATCCGAACTATATGAAAGTTTTTCTATACAACAGTTTGTAGAGCGAGTTTTACTTTACAAGATCTCCAATTAATTTCATGTTGCTGCAAATGATCGAAATCGATTGTAATTTTATATACCGAAGTTTGAAAGAGACCATTTTTTTTGAAAAATGTCGTCTCCTGTACATAGTAACTGTTCGAAGATTGTGTATGCATTCTAATTCTTTTGAGTTCTAGCTAACTGTAATGTATGATTGAGTGGGAATTTAATCTCTGTACAACACTAGAAAGCCTATTTTACTGACACGGGAACCACCTAAATTGATATCTGCCGTTGGAGCTCATATGAGGTCCATAAGGAGACTTTCATAAGACTTGAAAAAGCCTAAAAGAATTCGTCTCCATGATTCTTTGAAGCTGAGTTACGATCATTTGATTCAATGTTCGATGTAAAGTTTTGTCGATAGATAGCTCTTATAAGTCATAGAACATCCTACAATGGGGACCGAAAAAAAGCCTGGCCGTTTTTATTTTTTTACACATAAGCGAGTAATAAGGGTATTCTGGAAACGACCCTATCGGATAAGATGACCTATCCAGAATTGAGAAACCAAATATAGCATCTTGTAGAGAATTTCATAGACTTGTTATATACCATTAGATGAGCCTTGAAATTCCCTACAAGATGATATATTTGATTTCTCAATTCTGGATAGGTCATCTTATCCGATAGGGTTGTTTCCAAAATACCCATATTATTCGCTTATGTGTAAAAAAACCGACCAGACTTTTTTCGAGCCTCACTGTGAAAGTTTCAGTCGAAAACAATTTGCTACAGGCATGATACAAAAATGAAGTTAACTGGAACATTGAATATCTTGATACAAAATTATTTTTTTTCGGTTGAAATTTCCAATCTATGGGCAAAATCTCAGGTCGAAATTCTCTTGCTTGATATTTCAGTAAATATCTAAAAGTCAGTCAAAATTTCAGTAAAACGATTCTAATTCGGCTACAAAAGCCCATGTGGATGAACCCTTTTAAACTATTTCTAGACCCATCAAGACGTCCTTGTAGGCCCGACATGACCTCAAACGACAAGTATCAATTTGGATGGTTTCCTCATTAATGTAAACAACATTTTTGATTTCTTTAAATATTTGTTTATAGTTAACCAACCGTAAGTCACTAAAAAATTCTGAACAAATATAGGAAGTTGCAGAGTTCGCAAGTGTATTCAATTCATGTTTACTTTGCCTTCGGAAACTCCGACCAAAAAAAAAAGAAAGAATCTTTAATCTTATGCTTTTGAATAGTATTTTTTATTGATGTTTATTTGTCTTCGTGTTCTACATGGTTCGTAGATCATATATAAAGTGTAAATATATGATGCTATAAAGTTATTTTCCAACAAAAAAAAAAAACTCAATGATGTTTTAGCTTATATCTTCTCTGTAGTGGAATCAAAATTGCCTTTTCTTGGAATTTTATTAGTCAAATGTTACTTTGCCTTGTTCATAAAGATACTTTCGAAAATCACTTTCTAATGTCGATACAGAAGAAATTATTGATACATACATTACAGTATGAATAAGTAACAATGAATACTCTGATGTTATCTTTTCCTAAAAACATTCTTTCGTAGTTTGATACCTAATGAAAAACAAATTCTGTCTAAGTTTAATTTTATTTGTATTAAATTCTGATTTTAGTTGATTGTTTTTGATTCTCTCCGGTGACTTATAAGTGAACATAAAGCTAATCAACTTCACAATGTACAACTATTTAGAAAAAAAGTCATTCAATTCATTCGTACCATTTTCTTATTAAGGATGTAAAAATCCTACTAATCATTCATGCATTATTAACTTCATGTGTAGTTTACAAAAGTTATATATGTCATTAAATCGAACTTATTTTCAAATTATACTTTACATTAATCTATTCTTTTCTTTTTTATACCTTCATACTTAATATTTTATATATTCCGATAATTCTGAAAACAAATGATCTCATATAGTAAAAATTATTTAATTTTTTTCTAAATAAAATTTATTTCATACCTTTTTAATTTAAATAATAAAATAATAATATCAGACATTGTATTAATTAACATAATAGCAAATGAATCAAGTTCAATAATATTATGTAAAAATGAAATTTTTAAATATCTTAATTGTTCAAGTTTTAATAGAAAATTAAGTGATGGTTCAGTTGATAAAAATTCATATGAAAATTGTAAACGACGTATAGATTTTTTTAATAAATATTCAAGTTGTAATTGATCATATGAACGAAGTGATTCAAAATGTACAGAAAAACAACGTAAAAAATTTTGTTTTTTTAATTCTTCATCATTATGATGTGATATTAATAAATGTTGTTTACGTCGTTTATTAATTGAATTTATTAATGGTTGATTTTTTAAATAAATATTACAATGTGAATAAAGATTTGTTTTAGTAAATAGATTAATATTTGATGAACGAATATTATGAAATAATTTTGATTGAACGAAATATATTGGACATTGATCAATATCAAATATAATTGATGACCAAAAATATGTATGTTGATTAATACATAAATAAAATAAACGTGATACAAGACGTATTGATAATAAATTATTTATTTCAAGATATGAAAAAATATGTGCCCAAATTTCAATTGGTAATTGAGGTAATAATGAACGATTTTTCCATTCAAGATAACGTTTACGTGTTGTTGACATGACTAGATTTTAGAGATTACTATTCTAAAATAGATGTTAAAAAAAGAATTTCAAATTCATTTTGTAGATTTTCACATTTATTTTCGAAGATAATAGTGATTGTAAATTTTAAGTCAAAGTTTTCCAGCTTCTCTTTCGAAGAAACTACCCAAACTGATGTTCGCCGTTTCAGTTCATATTGGGTTCATATGAAGATGTCGGTTAGACTAGAAAAGGCCTAGAAGAGTTCTTCCTTATGAGTTCTTGGAGCGAGATTATGGATGTCGTATTAAATTTAATGACATTTAGAATATCCTAAGAGTTTCAGTTGAAAAGAATGTTTCTTTATCGAGGAATTGAATTTACAAGTAAACTCGATTTTTGTGACAAACGATCATTTTTTTGACAACACAATAGCTCGATAAAGAAACATTCTTTTCCCTTGAAACCTTCAGTACATTCTAAGGGTCATTGACTTTATCTACAGGTGAAATTTCCGGTCGAAATACTTTTCTTTTTTTTAATTTTCGGTGTATACTTAAAGCTAGTTCGAAAATTCAATACAACCACCATAATTCGACTCCAAAGACCCATAGGAACAAAACATTTTTGATTTTTGTTAGTCTTATCAAGACGTCCTTGTCGACACAATACGAGTTCAAACAGCGGATATAAGTTCGAATAGTTTCCTCGTTAGAAGCCAGGGTTAAAGGTTATTGATCGAAGTTTTGCGGTTCTCACACATTACAGATATTATTCACCAAAGACAACAGGCGTTAGACTCTTAGCAGTAGAAAAAGGTACTGAATGATATTAACGACAAGATTTAGACTAATCTAGAACATTTCAAAGTCTTCCTTAGAATTTCAATGACTGGAATATGTTTGTAAATATTCTAAATAGTGAAGTTTTATATTTAAGATGTCAAGAATGGTAGATAACAATCCATTGGTTTACCATAGTTATCATATAGTCAACATAAAAAAGTCTGAATTAATTAAGTTATGACTTTAGGAAATAATTAATATCAATATTTGTGTATACATCTATGAGAAATCAAATTTATCGCGTTTTACTTTTATGGTTGCATTTTTTGTAAAGCTATAAGAATATTTTAGTCTTTACAGGTATACGTGTACATATGAGAATGGGTGAAGAAAATACGCTAATCCACGCACACCCAAAAGGACTAAAGAAATTAAAATAACTAATAGGATTATTGGGACTAAAAGCGTCAAAGTCAAACGAGATAAATTTAATTTTTTGTGACTCCTTCCGTTTTTGATCTTATCGCGATGTATAATAGTGTGTTGAGATCTGCTGTAGATATAATGAATATATATACAACAGATTTATTTGCCAGGTAAATCAATGATTAAAATAATAATGTTAAATTAAGAAAAATGAAAAGTAACGAGCGAGTAGCAATAAAACGAACAAAAAAGATAGAAAAAAATTTCTACATCGATTATCTTGGTATATAACTATAGTCTGCGACAGATTATTCACTTTACATATTTTGTATTAGTATAACAAGACTAAAGAACACATAAATTTCATATTCTAGCCCTCAAAGGGCTATGCTAACAAGTTTTCTTTTTATCAAAACATAAAAAAGATCACATTTTTAAATCGTAATTTCCATTAGAAGAAAAAGACCGTTCTCTTTTTCTTTGAAGGACAACATCAATGACTCACTTTCACCAATGGTGAAGATGTCTAAAAAAAAATCTTTCTTTCCTTTTCTGTGCATGTCGATCCGTTATCGCGCAATCAAGGAGAAAAAAACAAAGTAACCCTTAAGAGGGTTATGCAAAAAAATAAAAAAAAACAACGGTAGTAGAGCAAAACGGAAAAATTCACATTACTTTTTTTTTCTTTAGAATTTCATAAAGAGTAATATATATAATGGCAGCTGCATTGCACGTAGAAAAACCTGAACAACCTGAATTAGCTAAACATGATTCGAGTATTCTCGGTAATTAAATTTTAATCAAATAAAATAATTTAATGTATAAAAAAAAATTCTTTTTTTTTATAATAAAACAAAAATCTAGATTTAGCTTTTGCTATGGATTGTACGGGTTCCATGGGAAGTTATATTGATAGTGCGACACAAAATATTCGTTCGATTGTTGAAGAAATTGTAACAAGTGAAAAAAGTGATATTCATTTAGCACTTGTTGAATATCGAGATCATCCTCCACAAGTTTATTTTCAAGGATTATTTACATTTTTTTCTATTTTATTTCTTTATATGTATAGGAACATACATTTGTTACTCGTGTACATGATTTTACTAGTAAAGTTAAAGAAATGAAAGGTTGGCTTGAACAATGTGATGCACAAGGTGGTGGTGATGCACCAGAAGCTGTAGCTGACGCATTACATGATGTTCTCAAATTATCATGGCGTCCAGAAGCAACAAAAATTTGTATTCTTATCTCAGATGCACCACCACATGGACTTGATCCAAGTTGTGATGGTTTCCCTGAAGGAGATCCTTCTGGTGTTGATCCTATAAAAACAGTACGAGACATGGCTGAAAAACAAATAACACTTTATTGTGTCGGAGTTGAACCCCCTATTGGTTAGTAGATTTCAGTTGTGATCTAAAACACTACGAACTATTTCCTTATTGCATTTCTGAAAAATTAAGTAAAAGGATGATGAAGAGATATGTCCTAATAAAATAATATTTCTGTGATTAGTAACAGTAGCTAAATCGCGTATGGGTTGTACTAACAGTATTTTTGACAAGCATACCTAGAATGAATGAAATGGGGGAATATATCCAACTGTCGGAAGATATGTGACTTCATATGGTGGCTATAAGGAGATCTCAGAGTGACTAAGACAATTTTAAAAAGACTCGGAATTATGGCCTATTGATGAAGAGTTATGACCATTTTAATGAAATTTTTACAGAGATCAAGGCATTTTTGAAAAACTCAAAGCAAAGACTTTTGATCTGAAATTTTGTCTATGGACAGATGTAATAGTTCTGAGAGTTTCAACTAAAATGAATTTAATTTTCAAATAGATTCGATTATTTTACCCTTCTTCGATAAACTCAGTCTCCCTCCCCCCGTCCCCGCCACGGATCTTTGAGTCATCTGGTTCAAAATTCTAACTTCACAATTGCTAGGTTTATTTCTACAGATTGAATGATTAGACTTTTTTGTTTTTAGTTCCTTATCGTGATTTTTTTATGACACTTGCTTATTTAACTGGTGGACAATATGTTCCAATGGTAAATGCAAAATTATTAGCTCAAGTTATAATTGGTGGTGTACGTGAAGAAATTTCCTTAGAACGTCTTATGAAAGATGCTGAAGAAGATATAAATCAAGAAATGAAAAAAGCCGAAGCTGAAGGCGTCGGTGAAGAAGAAATAACGGCAAGAGTTAATAGTTTATTACTCAAAAAAAATCTACGTGTTAAACAAATGGATAATATAGGTGGAATAACATCATCTGTAGCTAAAGATAGCTATTCAAAATGTGCTAATATGAGTGAATTACGAAGTCAATATAAAATAGAATCACTACCAGAACCAGTTTATCCTTCTCGTATGACTCGTGCGGCTGCTCGTCGTGCTGCTGCTCGTAGTGACAGTAAAGATGAAGAAGAGGCAGAAGGTGGTTTTTCACCACCACGGGCAGCGCCAGTAACTGAAATGAATTATGGCTTAAAAGAAGATGAAGCTGTGAGTATGGCACAAACAGAACGTATCGTACAAAGAATGCGTTATAAAAAATAAATCGACTATAAACTCTTTCTAATAATTTTTAAATTATCACAAAAAAAAAATGACAAACTAATAAAGAAAAATATTTTGTTTTTTATTTCGAATTTTTTTCATTAAAATAAAATTATTTTAAAGTTCAGTTTTTGAAAGTACACTTAACGGATGTATAATTCCATTTTGTACAACATATTTAAACCATTTTAATGGTTCATTTCCACGTAATTGACCTTGTGTGCTACATTGAACTGTTTGTTCATATGTTAACCACATAGCTCCATAACTAAAATTAATAAAGATTATGATTTAAGTGGTCAATTACTTTCTTTACATAATCTTTTCTAGCTAATCAATTTTTCTTAAAAATAAAGAAATATTCGTAGAACTGATTATTTAATCTATTTTACGGATCAAATATTTTGTTTCCATTAAGAAACATCAATCGAGTCAAACTGTTGTTTCTTTTTTTTTTGTAATATTAACTAACCTTTCATAATCAGGTATACTTTTTGGTTCACAATCATTCTCATCAAATGGTTCAGCAAAAAAAATTACACGAAGACGATTTATATCAGTTCGTGGTACAAATTCAATTTTTAATATTCCAGTTAATCGTATTTTAACACCGGCTTCTTCTAATGTTTCACGTTCAGCTGCTTTATCAAGTTGTTCACCAATTTCAACACGACCACCAGGTAACCAAAAACCCATTGAACCTGATTCTTGAACAACAAGAAAACGATTATCACATTTACGTTGACATACAACTAATGAAAATGCATATAAAGGTGTAGGTGTTGGTCGTTGTCGATGTTCTTCATTATGTTCTTCATGTAAATGTACAGCATAATTACGTGTTGATCGTTGACATATTTGACATTTTGTTGAAAGTTCTTGTTCATTTGTATGATAAAGTGGTACATGAATATAAAGTTGTGAAAATGAAAATGATGACCATTTACAATATGGACATGTATATTTTGATTCAGAATTCAATTGACCTAATGGAAGTATTTGATGTAAAACGTTACGAATTTGTGTAATAGATTCTGTAACCATATTAACACCAAGACTAGCAAGAGACCACCTAAAAAAAACAAATAATAGATAGTGTTTTAAAAGCCTGAACGAAAAAAAAAACGTGAATAGTGCATCAACAATTCAAGGTATTTAAATCCTTTAAATTGCCGATAGGCTATTCACGTTTTTATCGTTCGGACTCTTGAAAGGGTTACAGGTATTTTGATCAGAATTAAACTAGTCTCATTCAATCCTATAAAAAGCCTTATTTTTTCAATTAGTTGTTGCATTCTGTAATGCGCTGAGCAAGACGCTACAACTATAATACGATCTAAATTCATACTACTCAGTACTAAGGCATGTAGCAACTAATTAAGGTAATAAGGTTTTTTTATAGGAAATAATGAGATCATTTTAAGTCCGGATGGAAATTCTGACTTCCCTTTTTGAAGTATCCTATAAATAACTATTTGAATGAAATATTTATTTTTTAAATATTTTACCGAATATTAGGATCAGCACAAGCTGTATGTGAATGAATTATAATAAAAGTATGTTTGTCTTGATGACGAATTGTTTCGATTAATATTTGACCTGAATTTTCATCATTCATACCTAATTTTGTAATAATAATTGATAGACGAGAAGGATTTTTTATTGCTAGTACATGTTTAATAGCTTGTTGTGATGTTGTAAATGAATGAATAATAAATTCAGTAGGAAATTCAGTTTTTAATAAATTTTGTAATTCAACATATTCAGCATCAGATTCTTGAGGTGACCAAAGAAGAATAAGATCGAATAATGCTGAAGACATCTGAAATGAGGAAAAGAAAAATAATTGGAAGAAATCCATAGGAATACAAGAAATTTAAATATTGGTTTTGATAAAATTTAAAAACAGATCTAATATTTTGTCGCTATTGTTCGAATAGGTATTTCTATTAAAAATAAAATCTTACAAGTGATTTATTCAGATAGATATCCACCGTGTGAGCTCATATTCGATTCATCAAGACGACTTGATGAGGCTAGCAAAAGCCTACAAAATTCGATGTAAAATTCTGCCTATATTTAGGGTTGAAAGTTTCAGCAAGAAACAATGTTCTTTTGTCGACTTATTGATTGTTATCATATGTCAGTGGCAAGCAATTCTTTTTTTTTGAAAATTTACTATCGTAGACAAAGAACATTCTTTTCGACCAAAATTTTCCGGATATTCTACAGGCTATTGCATACTGTTTACTTTCATCAAGACATTCTTGTAGATCTACTATGAGCACAAACGTTTGATATCAATTCTGATGATTCTTTCTTGTTTTTTAGCGATAAGAAATCGTGTTTTTTTTTTGATTAATAAAAAAAACCGGTACGTTGGTATCACAATAAAAAATAGTTAAAAAAAAATTCTATAAAAATATTTATCGAATTTGAAGCACCATGGACGTATCATTTGTATAACAAGTAAATATTTTTTTATGTGCTCTATCAAGCCAATATTGATCATATTGATAACCACCAATGAAAGTTTTTCGATTTTCATTAATTTTTTCATTTGATTCTAAACCAAAAAATCCTCGTAAAACTAATCGTACACGTTCTAATAATGGTAATCGTTGTTGTAATAATAATGTCCAAAATGAAGCACGAATATAATCTTCTTTATACATGAGAGTATCAATTGAGAAACGTTTTAAAGAAGGTAAAGCATTTAATAAACGTTGAAGAGCAGAAATATTAAATGAACGAAAATAAAAACGAAGACTAGTTATTTGAGGATATGTAATTGTTGATTGTGATAATGATTCACTATTATCATTTGTTATTAATGAATTACAACGAGAATCAAGTGTCATAGATAATGAACGAAGATGTGGACAATATGTTAGAAGTAAGAAAAGACGATCAATATTTATGAAATTTAATGAAAGTACTTCGATATTACTTAATGAAATTGTTTTAATATCATACCATTGAATTTTCTATAAGATAATAAATAAAGAATGTGATTAATTATATTCCAACTTAACTATTTAAATAAGTCTTTCGAAACTTATCAAACTACTTGAATTTTTTTAGAATAATGAAAATTTAGAATTCTAAACAAAACAAGTACTCTAAAATATAGAAATAATTCTAGATAGTACAGTCAGCCCCTTTTTCTATAGTCCATATTATTTCATAAACATATTTTTGACTTTATCCAATTAACATATCTTCTATCAATGGACATGTATTAATGACCAATTTGACAGTCAGCGAATTGACAAATCGTTAAGAACAACAGTTGTACGAGCATAATAAATAGCTCAAATCGAACAAGCACGCTCGTATACGGTGAAATACAGTGTATACAAATTTTGTATACATCGTCCTGGACGTTTAACGATACGATGCATCGACTCAAAGATAGTCTGCCAACAATTAACAATCCTTGTCGTGGTGAATAATCTTAGCTTGGCAATAAATGCGCTTATCTATAGTGAACGAAATGTTACTTCATCGGTGTTGCTATGTCTTTATTGCTCGTCGTGAGACTCTCTCTCATCTTGTTCTTTTTCTTTTCTTTCTCTTATTATATTTTAATTCAGTTCGCTACTGGTATCTACAACCCTTGAGCTCAATTACTTCTTGAAGACTGATATGGTCATAGGGCTAAGAATGCTAATAGTAAAACTCTTATTACATACGACTTGACATAAGTAAAGAAATGATAAATAGAATAAATGTTTAATTTTAAAATTTAATGGATGCACTAGAATGAATGTCCTTCGAAATATTGCCATACATTAATCTCTCTTTTACTAAAGATTCATGATTCAATTTTCTATAAGAGTGTATTACAAGTTTTTCTTTAAAATTAGAAAATCTTTTCCCTTATCCGAAATGGTGAAGGGTTCTCTTTGAAATGAGAGTAGCTCGAGCGGTGCAGCTTGAAGTGTATTGAAAAAACATTCATACGCGTGGAAGTTCTATTTTACACTATGGCTTCTGGAAATTCCTCAAGCGCTAAGGTTTGGAGTTGTGAAAAGTTTTTTTATAGTGTACTTCCATTAGTCGAACATCTTCAGAAAGTTTCATGCAAATCCCATATACTGTATTGAATATTGATTGTGGAGGGAGAGACTTTAAGGGTACCTCCTCTTTTGAATCACTTTTGATTCTTCGCGGGAGAGTACAACTGGTCCGGCTCAAACTTTTACTACAGTTAGTTTGCCGAAAACGGGGGGGGGGGGGGCAATTTTGAGGAAAAATTTTAAAAGAAGGTCTTGATGGATTGTTGAATGGATCTTCAAAAACTATCGGGTCTGCTTACGGCTCTGATCTTACCTTGTCTGATCGGGCGGGAACTTTTCTAGTCGTTCAAAAACCCTTAAAGATCTGCTTTAAAACTTTTTCTTCAAACATGAGTCCTATCATTTTCCTTAATCTAACTGTGGTAAAAATTGAACCGGACTGGTTGTACTCTCTCGGAGAGCGAGGAGTGATCCACAAGATGGAGTAAGCTTAAAGAGACTGAAGATACAGACTTCTACTAAAGGGACATTATTCAACAAAAAGCCAATTTAGTTTATCTCTACTTCACAATAGATCGTTAACTTTCATATGTATGAACGAATTTCTTATAACTAACATTAAACTTCTGAAAAGAAAATATTTAATCGAATTAAAAGATTTCAATATAATTTACCTCATGAAAATCAAGTCCTAAAACATGTATATTCGGTTGATTAAATAATTCTTGTGTAATATTCATTAATTGTTTATCATGATAAATTTCATGTGTATTTACATGTAAATGATTTAAATTACTTAATTGTTTTATTTGATTTGTTATTTTCATTAATTCATCATAATTAATATCAATTAATATTAATGAATATAATGATTGAAAATACATAAAAGTTGTATGAAATAAAAATTGTCGAATTTGTGGATAACGATAATAATTATTTGATAATATTAATATAAATATATTATTACAATTTGTTTGAAATAATGATAAACAAAATTGATCAAATTTTGTTTTATCAATTTTTGATATATTAGCTGTTAAACGTAAACGAGAATCAAATACAAGTGTATTAAATCTTGTATTCATATTAAAAAATATTGTCCAAAGATCTTCAACATCCATATATTCAAATATAATCATTAAAATTTCACCTGAAAGATCTTCAAAACAAGTCATCTAAAAACATAGAAGATCCAAAAAAACACTGAGATAAGAGTAAAGAACTGATCTTATATATTTATATTAAATTTAATTTAACTTTAATTAAAATTTAATTGATTCTAGGAACTTATACAGTTCTCCAGTATATTCAATTGAAATCTTATTTCTCTTATGAAGGAATCTTCTCAGTTTGAAAATTGCTTCTGACTTTGGACATTGTATATAAGATAAAAAGCAAAAGAATAAGGACCCGTTAACCTTTTCTACAGAATTATAGATCTTTTACTAAAATTTTAGTCTACTAGCACAATATGCACAAAAGAATTGAATAACGATATTTTAACTTGAAATTGCGTCTATAGTTTATAACTAGAATATCCTGAAAATTTCATCTCAAAAGAAATTTTCAGGATATTCTAGTTACCAACTTTAGGCGTAATTTCAGGTTAAAATATTGTCATTCGATTCTTTATAAATTAGAATATAAATAAATACAAATGATTTTATGCTTAATTAAAAACGAAATCTATCCTAAGTTCATTTTTACCTAAAATGAAATTTTACCTATGTCATATATTTTATTAAATATACACCAACTAGAATAGACAAAACATATTTACAATAACTCTTATCATTGTTTTTATGTTGTTGTTAAGAACCATGAGTCATTAAACGATGTTATTAGTATAGATAATAATAGATATGAGATTTTGTAATAGATAATTGTGTAAATCTGAATTGGTTGTCACCATTTTTTTTATGTAAATAATTCATTGGTTTTTAAATATTCAAACTCTGAACTTCTTCAAATAGTTTGTTTCGTAATGAAATTTTTATTTCTTTAATGCTGTTTCTCAAAGAACTAATGAAAAATTGTAAACAACATACGTTAGAAAATCCGGAAACTTACGAGAGAAGTTCCTTAGTTGGTTTATTGCTTTTGAGTTGAGATTATGTGTATCATATGGATCCTGATGAACTATGAATATCGTGAAAAGAGTTTGAGTCCTTAGTTTATTGCAGCCAAGATATTGTATTTTTATGATCTTTTTTGTTGCAATGCTTTGATCCATCCACAAGAATATTCGGAAAAGTGTTTTTCAAATTTCGCTCCGAAACTTTACACAGAGACAAGACTATATATGAGTTATTGTAAAAGTTTTAGATTTTCTCGTTGTTCTTATCTTAAGATACGACTATGGTAGAAGTGTGTCTTTTACGTCCTTCCACAAACATCGTAGATTCGATATTCTTAGTTCAGGATAGAAATCAAAGAAAACATCTGAAACTTATACAATAAACTATTTTCATATAAAGGCCTATCTCTGTACAAATTTCAAAATCATTTCTCCTAGTATTCATAAGGGGAACAACAGCATTATGGTAAAAAAAAACATCTAAAAATGCAGCGTCTCAACATAAAAGTGATTAATCCGTTAGAAACTTCTCTTGTTAGTTAGTACAGTAACGCTTTATCAAGATGATATATGTATGAGATTAACTTATATAAGCTGGATAGGAAGCTGATTCTATGTTCTACACTATAATTTTTGTTGTATGCTCTCTATCAGGTAATCATGTTGTTGGTCGAAAAATTTTCGTCGACATGCATTTCGTCGAAAATTTTTTATCGACACAACATTTCGTTGACAGAACACTTCGTCGAAAAACGTTTCGTCGATACGACACTTCGCCGACAAAGCATTTCATCAATAAACTCAGACAGATATCTGTTTTTCGTCAAAAGTATTTTCTTGGCTATGAAGAGCACTCCCAATGCAAAGATGAGGTGAACATGAGGGTGAGGATGAGAGTAAGGGCCATGCAAGGTACTCTAAATGTGAGGGTGAGGGCAAGACCCATGCAAAGCACTACAAATGTGAGGGTGAAGGCAAGGACGAGGGCAAAGGCACTACAAACGTGAGTGTGAGAGAAAATTTATTGTTCTCTTAACTCCGCAAAGTTCTGTAGAAGAATTGAAGGATTCGGAACTGTCTTGAGGGGCTGAGAATCTCTCCTTGAAGGGCTCTTCGACGAAAAGCATGTAATTCTATTCAATAGTGCCCTGGAATTCTTCCATCATCGTCAAAGGAACAAAGTTAATTAGGAGATACTTTTGAACTTGTCTCCTGACGGCGAAACAAATCAGAAGAAGAAAATAACCCACTTTCGACGAATTGCTTTTCTACAAGAAAAATTTCGACAAAATGTCTTGTCGACGAAATGTGCTTTCGACGAAATGCTTTTCTATAAAAAAAATTCGACAAAAATTTTTCGACAAAGTTACTTCGACGAACAACATAGCATTCCTCTCTATCATAATCAGTTCATCAAAATTTACGAGAAGAGTTCGATAATCAATTCTATTCATCAGAGAATTTCTTGGTAGCACAACAAATTCTGGTACTAGTTAAATATTTCTAACAAAATAACAATTTTTAAAATAACTTAACCATACTCTATAGTAGACGATGATATTTTAGAACAACTCGAGATAAAAATCCAACGAAAACTCGAATTTATTTCGACCCTTAGATTCAAAACAATATTACTACTATAATATATTATACACGGACAGATTTATATATTAATCAAATATTTCATAAGTAAAAAAAAAGACTGTAAAATCTTAGCAAATAGAAAAATACGTATTTAGCTTTGATTCATCACGAAAGACAGACAATATATACTTCAATATTCTGCGCTATTATTATATTTAATTAATTTTTTTAATGAATAATAAAAATTAATAAAGCAATGTTATAATTCGCTCATGAAGAGATAATATAAACTCACTCATACACCGAAAGTTTCAACTAGAATAAATATTTTCTTCTTATGATATCAAATTCTCAAGCAATACGCTTATTTTAGACAAGTTTCAGAAATTCAGTAAAAAATGACCATAACTTGGAAAGAAAGTACCAAGGACACAATTTATCATATGTTTTGTCTATTTCCAGTAGACTCTACCTAATAATACAAGTCTCGTCTCAAAAGCTTTTCATCACTTCGAAAGATTCCCTCATTAAATAAAGACTATCGTCGATTTCTATAAGATTCTTTCTTTTAATAAAAAAAAAAAAAAGAAAAGATAAGAAAATATTTTTAATCCATTAATTTGAATTTGATATCGATCATTTCATATTTACATACAAAATTGTTCAGAATGAACATGACATAGAAATACAAAAAGAAAACAGAACAAAAAGAAATCAAAGAAACTATGTAAGCACCGGAGATGTTACTTGCAACCTTCACATCGAGGATCGCTACAATCAATGTTATGTCCTGATTTTTTGAGTGTTTTCTCGTTTACTGTAGCGATACGTTGCAAGGATTGTAGTTGATCAGTAGAATTAGTTTTTGTAAGTTTTACACGTTTTTGTTGTCGTTGTCGATATATATCCATGGTTGAACGTTCACTTACATTTAATGGTGCTTGTTGTTCTTCATCATCACTATCACCATGACCAGTTTTACGATTTTGTTGACTAGTATTTGTATTTGATGAATCAAGATCACGAATAACTTCACCTTGAATACTGAAACGTATTGGATCGAAGCCTTAAAAAAAAAAGGATCAAACGTACTGACAGCCTAAATACTTTGAATAATATTGATTCATCTTTCATTTAGTTAAATCTATTGATATTGGATTTAATCTTATTTGTATACCGAAAATATCTCATATTTGTTCTAATACGATGTCTTCTAAAGTTATTCGTTAATAATCAAGGACATAATACAGAACGGATATAGATGTCCATCGTGGATGGAAATCTGCTGCTGCTGCGCGGTTGGCGTCGGCGTCGGCAGTGTCTTCGTGAACATCTCTGAGAATAGATAAAAAATACGTCATCATTCTATTCGTTTCTATACGCGCATTTACTTTTGAATGTCAACCATTTTGATAAACTGTTGTCTGTTAAAAAAAATAATGGTCGTGGATATTTGTGCAATAACGCAAGAATGGAAAGAGCTACAGAGCTGTGGTTTTCACTAGTCGAAAGAGGAGATATCGGAACGTTTTTTGTGTCCAATATTATATAAGACGAAATTATTTTAAAATCAACCATTTTTACAAAACATCGAAAAAATGTATAAAAATGATCTGTCATTCAGATCGAACTTTGATAAAAAGTAACAAAATTCGCTTAAAAATAATGAGAAGTTCATATTTTTTGAGGGACCAAATAGACAACCTTATTGGCTTAACATTAGAATGTTTGAAGATAATCATCCGAATTATATATTAAACTATAGATCTGAAGTTTCTCTATCTAAATCACATATCAAAACTAAAATTTCATCAAAATGACAGACTGTTTTCATACATTTTTTGCAATGTTTTGTAGCAATGATTGATTTTAAAATGATTTTATTTTATATAATATTGAAGAAAAAGACGTCCCGATGCCTCCTCTTTCGACTGGTGAAAATCGTAGCTCTGTAGCTTTGTCCGTTCTTGAGTTATTGCACAAAGAGTCACAGCCTTTATTTTTTTTTAACAGGCAATAGTATGAAAAATGTTACTATAATAGAAAATTTTTACTTCAAATTTTATTTGATACAAATTAGAGCTGCCAACAGATTAAATCGGACCGATTGATGTTTCTGTTTTTTCGAATATATTTAATTCTATAACTCTACATTAATATATCATTCTAGTGTCAATTATTCACTGAATTTATTTTCATAAAGATAAAATAATAACAGGATCGTGTACGAAATAGTAAATTAGAACAAAGAGAAAATCCATCACAAATATTTTTCATACAAGAAAGGCTAGAATTAACGTAATGTTTTTTAATTATATAAGTATTGCTTTGCATAATCGAAAATGATCGTAAAAACAACACGTGATTAGTAGTCACATAATGAAGAGGCGAAAAACAAAATAGAAAATAATTGATATTTTTAATAACAGTCAAGGACATTAATATATTACCCATTAATATTCGTAACAGCTCAAATGCAAAATTTCCTATCTAATTGTTTTGAAACTAAACAAGTTCTTCTGTCAGTCCTACAACATTTAATTAACATTTGATTTCCAAAACGTAATGGTTTGGCCTATTAACCAGATCAAATATTATATTGACCGGTGGGGCAAGGCTAAAATTTTTCTTGACCTGACAGACAGCAGGCTAAGTCGACAGCCCTCATACAAATATCTATGTCTATATAGACGTTTTTCTGGCATTCGTATATATATATATATATAGCAAAAAAATATGAACTGTGGATGTGTTAATAATTTAAAAGATACATAGGAAATTTTCGTTAATTATCATTAAAGAGAAATAAGCATTACACAATTTGATCTCGTTGTAGTAATAATATCAAGCAGAGACTTTCCTCTTGAACTCTACTATTTTCTTCTCGAATAATATATATATGAAAACTAACTTACTATCAGGTATAGTAATACGAGTAACACGTTCCATTAATTCATCGATAATAACAAATGGACCCTATTATAATAACAAAAAGAATATTTATTATGTTTGTTTGTTTTTTTTTGTTTTTGAAAAACTTATTTACTTCAAAATTTCTTGCTGGTGGAAGAACTTTAACAAGGTAGAGTGCTGTATCAGGCAATGGAAAAGCTCCGCCAGGTGTTGGATGACTACCAGGTAATGGTTTTCGTGTTGGTCGAAATGGCATCATATGTTTAATATCAGGTCGAGGTAAAATAGCTCGTCGATCTCGTACAGCTTGTTCTAATAATGTTGTACCATTAACAATTGAACCATTAGTTAATACTGATGTATTTGTTGATGATAAATTTATATTTGATAAATCTTTACAACCAAGTAATTTAAGTTCATCAATTGAACATGGTAATAAATTAAGAAATTTATAACGATCAACAAGTAATAATGTTTCTCGTCCTTCTAATTCATTTAAATCTGAATAAATTTTTAAACGTCGTTTTTCAACTTTTTTTATTGATTGTAAATCACCAACTTGTGATTCAAATTTAAGAAATTCATTCCATATTGTTGGTTGTAATTGTTTAAATATAGAATTATTTGGTGATAATATACGTTCAAATAAAACACGTGCATTATGATCTTCATTTAAATGTGTCATATAATCAATATAAGCTAAAATATAATCAAGATTTTGATTATATTTTTTTAAACCAAGATTAAATATATTAAATGCAATATTATTATCTTTTGTACAATAATATTCCATTAATGCAGCAGCAACATATATTTGATGATTTGTACGTATATCTTCACGTGCACGTTTAAATAATGTACGTGCTGATTTTATACCATCTGTACGTCGTTCAAAACGCATTGCTTGTATATAAGCTAATGTTGGATCTTTTAAATTTGCTTCATTTATATCTAATAAACGATTATATATTGAACGTGCTTTATCAATATTTAAACGTTGTTCTTCAAAATCAGCATAGGCAAAATGTATAAGCATATTTGAACGCATATAAGTTTGTATTGCACGTTCATATAATATTGCTGCATCATCAAGAAAACGTTTTGATAATTGAGCATCACCTCGTTCTGAATATCCATGTGAAGTTTGTTCTAAATATGCACATACTTCATACCTAAATAAAATAGCAAAGAAATAAATCTTTCAGCAAATTTTAAATTTGATTGGATTATTTAGATGCTTCTAGAATATGTTCATCTAGTTTAAGATTGGTTGATATTGCTTGTATCTATTGAAGAGTTCTCGTACTCAACTAATTTTTATTCTGAGTTTAGATTTAGTACATAATTGATGTTAAGAAATTATTGATTGTAAATAATTTTTATTTAACTTATCGATTGCAAAAATAATCAATATGCTATGAACGATATTTACATAATAGATTGTTTAGTTTTATTTTTTCTTTTAATTATTATGAATTGACAAAAGTTCTATAGCATATATAATACTGATAAAAATTTACATAATAATTAATGGGTACTTTTCTGTTATCCCGACCACCCCAGGATGAGGTTGAGGGTGTGTGTTGAGAGTAGTCGAGATAACAGGAAAATACCGATTTTTTTTTGTCTATAGGTTTTATATAGTATTCTAGCGAAAACCTTAAATAGATTTGAGTTCTTATTGAGACTTGACGGAGCTATTGAATCTATTTGTCAGAGAATCCTGTAAGACTCCAGATTTTTGAAAACATTGTGCGTTTTAAATTTTGTTTTGGAACTAACTCCATTTGAAGGTCTCACTTGGAGTAGTTCGTAGACTTCACATCTCCAAGCTATGAACTTTTCAAAAAAAAAAGACGTTTTTCGACGAGTAAGAAATAATACAGAAATGCTTTGAAAAGTTCGTATCTCGGATATAGAGAGTCTATAAACTACTCTAAGTGAGACCTTCAAATGGAAGTAGCTTCAAGAGAAAATTCAAACACACAATTTTTGTAAAAAATCTAGGATCCTACAGAAATCTCTTGCAAGTAGACATATTACTCTCGTCAAGTCTCAATAGAAACTCAAGGTCTTTTAAGATTTTCACTAGAATTCTATCTAATATCTATAGGCAAAAAAAAATATTGAAACCAAAAGTGAACATCTTGAGAGGTTCTCTTGGTAGTAGGTGATCAACATCGGTGTCAACTAACAGATCAGATTTAACACCAGACCTACGCCCATGAGAAGAATTCGAAATCAAGATTGACTCCGACTTTTTTGATATAAAAATACCTACCAAAGATCAGCATGATAACCAAGACAAAGTAAACATTGTTCATAAGCTAAAACAACACGACGAATAACAAGTAATATATCTTCAGTTTTTAATGGATTTAATCGTTCCCAAGAAATAAATTTTCTCCAAGCAGTTATTTGTTTGATTTCATCAGCTGTTTGTGGTATTGTTGGTGGTATACATGGAATATTACGATCAATAGTACGTACTAATGTTTCAAATTCTTTTGTAACTCGTTTAACATTTAAAAATTCACGAGAACGTTCATCAATTATTTTTTTACCTAACATTGGATTAATACCCTAATAATTATGATTAATTTAATTAAACAAAAAAAAAAATATTTTATTAAGATAATTTTAGCATACCATTTCATATGTACAATAATCTTTCCATAATAATTCAACATTAGTCATTGGTGTCATAATACCTTTTTGATAGACTTTTCGTACGGCTGTTATCTTTTTATTTTCAGCATCGGAACCAACAGCTTCACTTTAAATTTTAAAAGAATTTTTATCATATGAAATTCAACATGATTTTCTACTCTCTTTCTCTTTTTCTAGTCGATTGACAATATATTGTCAAATGAGAATCAATATATTTTATTTTTCTCTAAGCAAAATACTTACACAGATTTAAGAAAAATAATATAATCATTCCAAATATTATATGAATAAACATCCATTCCGATTTTTTCCAATGCAAAATCATATGCTTGTGCCATTTTTTCCCTGAATAGATATATATATATAATATGATATTCTTGCCAAAAAACTTGAAAAATTGTTCAATTTGTAAATATACATAAGAAAAATAATATTTAATCAGTAAAATAGATGAAATGGTAAGTTTTTTATATATGATTGATAGTAAAAAAAAAAGTGCAATTCAAATCAATAAATAATACAAATTTGATCAGTAAACTATAGATTTTATCAGCAGAAAAAAAGATGCGTTTATAAGTATAAAATATAATTTAGTATAAGTAAATTAAATCGAAATAAACAAACAAATAGAGAATAAATAAGTAAAAGCTTAAAACAAGATTTAATACGAATTCAAAGAAGAAAATGAAAACTGAATTATTATCTCAATAAAACATGTTTACTCTTTACTAGTCTCATTCTTTCTCTTATCTCATAAGAAAATCTTCCTAACTTAAAAATCACTTTTGAGTTCGGATATCATGCATAAGTTAGTTCTTATACACACTAACTAATCGCAAGAGTGGTTATATGACACAATGCACTCAGCTTGCTATCTGGAGAATGTTCTCAGACAAATAGCAACTGGTGACTTGTCCAAGATCATTTGATGGCTGATGATACTAAGGATTGAACATACTACAGAGTTATGATCGTTTTAATGATATTTTAGCCTCTGACAAAGTATACATACAAGAATCGAATGGCGATATTTTGATCTGAAATCGTGGCTATAGAACAAAAGTCACTCATATTTCATGAAAGATTTGAGAATTTTATGTTTTTTTTTTTTTGGAAATTCAATATCTCGTGAAGACAACATTCTTTTAAGCTGAAAGTTTCAGGACATTCTAGTTACAAGTAGTTCTATCTATGAGCAAAATTTCAGATCAAAATATCGTTGTTTAATTCGTGCTACAAGCTAAAATTTCAGCAGAACGTCTATAACTCTGTAGGGAAAGTCTATGTACCTTTATCTTCTTGAAGTTTTTGATACTTCATTGTGTTCTATCTTATGCACAAAGGTCGAACTCAAAAGCAGTTTTCAAGTTGAAAGATTTCCTTGTCAGTGCACAATGCTCTCTTTGCTGGTAGCTTGCAATACTTCAAACGAATAGCCATACGAACAATGTATTTGCATAAGTAGTTCTTAAAAAAAAAACCTAGTCAATTGCATTCTGATCTTTCCTCAATGTAAACCATTCCATATATCAAATAAACTCACTCTTTTCATTCCGTAGTTTTATAGATTATTCTCTTCTAGTTTATCATCACCTTTGGAATATTACCTATTACGAATTTTTCCTTAATATTAGCGTAAGAATTATATTTCACATTGATATGAAGTTCTAAATTTTTTTGAAGTTAAACCATTTTTTTTTATTTATATTCGATCATTTCAATTTCTATACTTATCTTTCGATTTAATTGACTATTAACAAATTTTATTTACTGATTTCATAATTATTTTACTTAGTAACCATTTTATCTGTTTTACTGGTCACTTAAATGATAGCCAAATACATTATTTCAATCCAACACATAGTTTAATCATCAATATACTGTATCAAATACGGTTATGTTCATTTTTTGAAGGAACGTATATAGATATTTGAATAAAATCAATAAACCAATCGAAGAGTAAAGAAAAAAAAAACAAACAAAGATGTATATATTTTGTTTTGTTCTTTTATTTTGTTTTAAAGAACGTATAACAAGTATAAAGTATTGCAAACAAAAAAGAATTTTTTTTTTTTTTATTGTATCTATAAAATCTCGATCTATATATGATCTATTCTTTTTTCTAATCAATATAAATTCTAAATAAATAAAAAAATAATAAAGAAATAATTCAAACCTGAACGATGATAATTTGCCTTTAGTATCACGAACATAATTTAAATAACATTTCCATAAATCAATATTTAATACTTTAATTAAACATCGTTGAAAAAGCTAAATATAATATAAAATGAAAATCTACTAATGATTATAAATAACTTTGCATTAATCGTCATATTAAAAAAAAAACATTATTTTAGTATCAATGAGCATCTCTATTTGAACTTGCAATAGGTTCTAAACAATTTCATTATTATTGTTCCCTGTCAGAAAGATTTAGTTTGTCTATAATGAAAAATTCTTTCCTTAAACCATAATAGATATTATAGTCATACATATCTTTTTCTTCAATTAAGAATTTCAGTGCTGATAACATTAGCACGGACATTTTTCCGGAAAAAAAAAGGTTTGATACTCCATTTTAATAGTATTAAAATACCTTCTATGAAAGAAATATTGTATGAATGAACAATATCCACACCTTCTCAGGAAGGCGAGAATATAATTTGATATTTCAAGAAAAGTTATCCTCATTACTTTTGTCTTTTTCTTGGATGCTATTAGTATAAAATAAAATTTGAAAATATAGATAACGTACCTTTTCGACTTTTTCATAATTTCGATCTTTCATCTGCAAAATATTTCATTTTTTTTTTGTAAATATCTTTTCAATAATCAAATAAAAACTTACTTCAGATTCAATATAAATTTTCCAAAATTTTCCACATGTTGGAAATTGTGTAATAAGTGATTCATAAAATTCACGTGATTCTGTTATTTTCTTATCCTAAAAATTTCTTCAATTGTAATAAATTAATTTTAATCAAACAAACTTGAGCATCTTGAATAAGTATTGACCATGCATCAAGTGAATGTTTATTTTCATTTAAAATTTTTCTTGCTTGTTGAATCTTTTCACTACGTGTTAAATCCTAATTTCAAACACAATAAAAAACAACAACATGAAATTGATATTAAAATTAAATGCTTAGAAAAAAAAAAAGGAAGGTTCATTTACTTCTCTTATATGAATACTCATTTGATATGATCAAATCTGAAATAAATGCAAATCGATTTTCTTTTTTTTTTAGGCTTCGCAGAATTTTACTGCTTCGAATAAGAAGAGGAACAAAAAAAAAAGCTTTTTACAGATGACCAAGAAAAATAGATGAAAAGTCAAAATAGGTTTGTTTTTTGTTTTTCATTAGTTAAGCATGGAACGACGAACAGAAAATAAAGCTTGAAGAAGAATATAGCCAATAATAAAAGTATAAACAAATCGATCACGAAAATCTCGTCTTGCCAATGTTCGTTCAATACGATGAATACGATTTTGAAGTAATTGAAGTTTATTTAATACTTGTTTATCATCAAGTTCTGTAAATGGTTCAATATGCCATCTAAAATATAATTTTTAAGATTTTCACTTTTTTTTTTTGTTCGATAGATAAGTCTTACGAATCAGCAATTTTTATTGGTTGATGTTGTTGATTATAATCAGGTCTATCAATTTTTGTATAATCATCATCATTCAAAGGTTCAACATCTAATGGATGAAATGAAGTTTGTTGTGTAGTTGAACTTGATGAACGATGTGGATCAGTAGCTTTTGAAAAATCAGTACCATGAGGCATTTCCGCATTGGAATGACCAGCTGAAATGATAAAAATATTTAGTGAAAAAAAGAAGTAAAGGATATAAAATGTTTGTTTTTTTAACCAAGTCGAATACTGTTAGGTACTTCCATACGAACAGGTAATCGATCATCATCTACATGAAGACGAGGTACAGATGATCGATTAGGACCAACTGTAATTGAATCGGGTACATGCATTTGATAACCTAAAAACAAATGATATGACAAAATCAATTGAATTAAAAGTATCAATTCAGTTAAAGCCTGCATGATTGTTCTTATTTTGTGAGTTCGTAACTATCGTAGGATTCAATTGAACCCATAGTGAAGAAAGGCTTTAGAATTTTATGTTTCATTAGAATGCATTTTTATCATGCATGAGTCGCATATAGATATGGGCAAAAGACTTACATCAAAGTTCATATTCTTACGACTTATGTGTTCTAAAGGTTTATGCGAGAATTATTGAGTAACAATCACTTCAATGTTTGCTGCTATAACTTTGATAGTAAAATTCATCCTTTTTTTTGTATTAACAATAGAGTTGTCGAACACAAAAACGTACAGAGTAGATGAAGTATTAGTAAATCAAAAAACGTAATGAATCTTCAAGATGCAAGACATTAGAGGTCATGCAAGGTATCTCGAGGTTATTAACACTGCTAGAAAATGACATCGCATTTTTCGCGAGTACATGTATTACTAAGTGTGAGTCTAGAATCAAAACTTTTCGAACCGAAACTAAAAATGATTGATCTAGCTCATCACTAGTCGTGTGCCTTTTGTATATCCTTTTTTTATATGAACGAAGCATAGAGATCAGATTTTTAGAAGTACTTCAACACAACACTTTTATTTATAATATTCATAAAATTTGACAAGGCTCTCATGCATTGGCAATTGACTAGCGATTAGAGAAGATGAGTGTTTTCAAAAGATAAATATAGACGCACTAAGAAACACAAAAATAAAAGATGGGCTCAAGCGAACTTCATGGTAACTACAAAGGATTCAAGTTGTGACTGTTCGATGAGGATAAAACTTTTTTACATTTGAATAGAGCAACTTTTTTATTGTAACAAGTGACAGATAACAAATGATTTTCTCAGTATTTCTGGAATAGTCTGAACAACTTTTCAACTATTTAAAGGTATCACTCCTTTTTTAACCATTACTGATCTTCGAAGAAAGTATACCCAATCCGTCTGAAATTTTTGCCACAGATAGAACGTCTAAGAGAAAAAGATATGTGTTTAAGAAAAAAAATTTTAAAGTAGATTTTTGGGAAAACTCTAGCTATATAGTCTATATTTTAGCAGTGATGTTAAGTTTTGCAAAAATTTTGTTTTCATTTTTTTTATGAGAGAATTTCATAAAATTTCAGATCTAAAAACCGGAGTGTCGGCATCTGGAACTTTATAAACCTGAGGTCGAAGTTCAAAAATGAAAACGATAGATTTCATTTCTGGAAAATACTTCTAAATATTTTGTCGTAAAAATTTCAACTCGATCGAACAAACTTAGACGACTGTCGTAATCAGTCCCGATGTGGTCCTATGAAAAATCGGATTTGTATGTGGGTGTGAGTATGAGTGAAGAGAGAACACACACATCCTTCCACTGACGATACACTCGTTTTCAGCCAGCAGTTGTAGAATCAGACATAATAATTGAGTCAAGCAAGAAAAGAAGAATAAGTTTTTTTTTATAATGTATTCAACCCAATCAGTAAAGAAAATCTTCTTGGAAAATATTTTTTCAATGTATCATGAATTATAAGAATATTTTGTACCATTGAAATGCTACTAATCATCGAATATAACATCAAAAACACAAATTCTAGATAGAATTAATGTCTATTTTGATCTTCGAATGATTCATTAGTTAGTGCTTTAACAAAATGTTTTAGCTAGTGTACGAGCGACGTCACTCCAAAAACCGAGTTAGTCCTGCTGAAGTTTTGAATCGCACTCTGGAAGAGAAAATCTGGATAAAACACAGCTTTAACGTATGTAGCATCTCATTTTTATCTTAAACTGATTCATTATTTAAGATTACGAGATTATGAAATAAACATAATAAACGATTTATTCAAATTATTATTTATCTTAATTCATATGATTATTAAAATTCTCGTTTTCATATAATTTTTGATAAAATCAAGAGAAAATTAATATAAACTTACTCATATTTGTAATATGATTAAGATCAATTTTTTTTCGTACCAAATCATCTGGATCATTTGCTGAATAATTCATAATAAATTTTTCTTTCAAATCTAAAATTTCTTTTTTTATTATAATTATCTTTTCATATGCAATTTGGAAATAGAAGAAGGAAAAAAAAAAAGAAGAGGAAAAAAAAAAGAACAAATGCACATTATAAAGCCATAAACTTATTCAAGAAAAAAGAACTGTTTAAAAATTTTGTTATTATGAATTCAATGATTGTTGTTTCAATCCAAGAACTGATTCAGATGACCAATGAAGATTGCACGATTTATAAACTAAAATAAAAAAGAAGTAACTTATTTTAAATAAATTAATTAAAAGAAATTTTTTACCTAAACTCCAAACATAAGGTACAAAAAAGTCTTCCGGTTGTTCTTCTTCAACATATTTAAATTTTAAATCAGGAAATCTCTTAAAAGAAAATAAAATGGAATATAAATTAGAAAAATAAAGTAATAATAATAATAAAAACAAAAAAAAATACTTTTAATCGATCTAATGGAAATTGTTTAACAGTTGTTTCTAATGTTTCTTTAACATATTCAGCTGAACGATATTTTAATTGATCAATTTTTTCGGTAAAAAATGTAATAATCTAATTTAAAATATTGAAAAAAAAAATCTTATATAAAAAAAAACAATTTTTTTATTACTATATCAATATTTTGTAAAATATCTTGAAAACTTGGATGTGTTCTATAATAATCAAAAATTTCTCTATTATAAAGTAATGCATATATAAGATTAACATTATATTGAAGTGTATGTGTTAAACAAGAATTAATTATTTCTAAAATCATTCTCATAACATCTTCAATAATAGATAAATCTTGAACATATTCATTAAAATTTTCATCATTTGATGCTATTATTTGTATATTATTTGTTATTATTGTTGATGATGATGATGATGCTGTATGTTCTTGTCGAGATTGTTGTTGTATAAGATCTAATACTTTTGAATGTTTACGTGAAAGTGCATTAAATAATGAAATAATTCTTTGTGTTATACATGTATGTAAATTTTGAAATTGTGATGACATATTTGCTAATGTAGCTAGACAATTTGTATGAAGATATTTATCACGCATACGTGCCATATTATATTGTATTGTACGAAGAACAATTGAAATAAGTAAACCACCTAAACTTATTTCATTTGTTGATCGTTCAGTATACCTGAAATAGAATATGATTTTATATATATAAGATGTTCTTTCATTTTTGACTTGTTAGAAAGTATTGTCGACGAGTTAAAAGCTATGATTTAGGACTAGGATTTTTTGTACTTAGAAATTTTGTATCAATTTATTTTGACTTATATTTAATTCAGCAATGAAATAATTGAAATGAATAATAATGAAATTTAGTAATAAATTTACTGAATCAGCAATAATTTACTTAAATTAAAGGTAAATTTTATATAAAAAGGGGCACTATGGATTCATTTTGTTATGTAACATTCCAAAGATGTACTATAAGACAGAGTTGTGTTATACTTTCGGTCTCTTTCTTTCTCTACATATGAATCTATACCATTCATGTTCTTTCTCTTCTGTCAGGTTAGCTGTACTGGTTTTTCTAAATTCAACCAAAGGAATCATTCTGTCATCTTGAATATTGAATGGTTATTCGAATACAAATTTTGTGGATTAATATTTACTCCTTCAGGCTATGCAATTAGAACTGTACAACAAGCATTCAAAGCTGAGAGTTTTTAAACAAAAAGCGTCCGAGTCCATACATTTGGGTCTGATAGAGTTCAAGTATCGACTCCAAGCTTTTTATTTAAAATCCTTCAACTCTGAATGTCTTTTGTACAGTTATAATCACATTGTATGAAAGTGGAAACATCGCTCCAAAGATGTGTATTCGAAAAACAGTTCAGTATTCCAAAAAATAGAATGGCCCAAAATCTTCTGGTCGAGTTCAGAAAATCTGGTGCAGCTCCCTACTGTCAGATACATTCCTATATTGCTTTCTCTTCGATTGTTCATTTCTTTCTTTCAAGTGATCATTCAGATATATTCTATTCGTATCATATCTATTCCTGGTATATTCTGTCATCTCAGATACAGGTCTATATGTGTGTGATAACAAAGAGGATCTTATTTTTCGAAAATAGACATCATATACACAAGATCATGTTACGGATTTAATACATTTATTTATAGAAATACGTAAGAAACAGAGGCAGACTATTCAGGCAAAAAACGCTTTATTGACCCAATAATATACTATATTTTTGATTTCTTTTTTTTTTATTTTCGACTGTAACTAAAACTAATACAGTTTTTCTTTTATTTATTGCTAAAATATGAAATTATTACTGCTATTTAATGAATTAATTATTGTTCATTTAATAACATATAATTGCTCAATAAAATTTTTTTTATTGCTCAAATAAATACTAGCCATTTATTTTTGTTCGAGAGTAGTAAAATAGTCTTTGAAGAGCATAAAAAATTATGTTGGATGAAAAATTTTTATATTTTCATTCTCGTTATTCGAAACTAAAAATTGCAGACTTGACGCACTTCAATTTTCATATTCCGTCAATACTCATTTTTGAAAAATCGACAACTGTTTTATGTTGAAAGAATATTTGCAAAAAAAAAATGCTCAGCTTAGTTTAATATCACATTTTGTAGAGAAGTGTCCTCTCTACAAAACGACAATTTTTCACGTCTTTCAAAGAGTTTCTCATTTTACTGTTGAACAAAAATAGACACAACATTTCTAAGCTCATATTCAAATTCTGGTTACAACTTATAGTTTTTGACTCGTCGAAAATGCTTTCTAGCGAGTTAAAAAGTGAAGAAATATCTTATGTACTTTTTCATCACTCATATAGAAGAAGAAAAAGAATACCCTGTCTAGTGACAGATTCAATAGGCCGATATCTTCTCTACAAGTATGACTAGCAGTAGTTCTGGACAGAAGGCCAACCTAACGCAGACTTCATGCACTTCCCATACACATTAACTAATCACAAGAGCAGGTGTATGTCACAACGTAGTTAGCATGCTAACGAACAAGTAATCTGAGACAAACAGTTGTTAATGACTTATCTAGGGTCATTTCATGGCTGGTGGTACTGACATTTGAACAGTATCTTGTTGATATGTGTTGAACAACGTAGCCGCTCAGCTATAGTGGCTCGTATTCACATAACTGTACAACACATAGTACATATTCTAGATTTTAAGACCCAATACATATAGTTATGAGTGAATATGTATCATAATACATGACAGTGATAGGAGTGAAGGATTCGGCGAAAGATAGGTTTGAAGCAGAGTGAGAGGTAACGAGCTGAGTAAACTCATTACTTTGTTACGTTACCCTCGATAGTTCCGTTTTGACTTGTGGCAAACACTCAAAATCTTTTTCTGTTTTCATTTAGATTCGTAGAGACCTATTCCGAATCAAAATATAGGATCAAATTATGTTGTAAAGTTAAAAATTAATCTTTGATTAAAGTTTCTATTGACTCTTGATTACATGTTTATTCAAAAAAGTTAAATTCCAAAGTTTTTATCATTAATATCTTTTTATATTCTTATCAGAAAACTACCTAAATAGTACTGCAAATAAAAATGACATGTCACTCGAAAATTAAAAAAAAACAAACTCTACTGATCGTTTTTTTTTCTTTCGATCAGTCATGATCTGTAGTATAAAAATTTACTTTAGTTAGATTTTCAGACTTCGTTTGTTGAGTTATGAGTGTTTTACTCAATATTTTCTCACTGTAAACATCCTAAAATTTGAACCAGAACGAACATATCCTTGCTAAAAGGATGTTTCTAATGATTATAAGATCTCTCTATAGACAAAACTTCAGCCCGAAATTCGATCATTCAAGTTCTCAACGATTCTATGCTCATAGGGCAAAAAACAACCGAGTAAAACACCTATAACTCAATAAATGAAAAACAATTGAACAGTAGGAGATATTCATTCGCAAGTAATTCTGCTTAATTCATATATATCTATATAATATTCATAAATTTTTTTCTAAATATTAAAATTTTTTGTAGCAAAAAAATCATTCATAAAATATTTATTTACCATGTAAGTTTTTTTAATTTAATATCATGAATTGTTCTATTAAAAAAATCATCTTCCGATAAGATCAATAGAATAATTAATGACATATAAATATGATGAGAATTTTGTTCCGCAGATGTATAAATAACTCGAAGAACTGGTAATACCTTTTTGAAAAAAACAAAAACAAAAAAGAAAGAATGAATCATATTCAAAATTAAATTATACGAAAAAAAAGAAACACAAAGAAAATTCTTTACAATTTGATCAATATTTGTTCGTGATATAACATAAGCTTTAAAATGTTGATTACGATGAAGTAACAAATAAAGTAATAATGTACTTTGATCTGTATGTACGGTTTGACATAGAACATCATATAAACGATGATAATCAATAGAAAACCAAGGTAATGGTTCAGAATCAGGTAAATTTGTTGGACTGTCTAGAAAAATGATAAAAACAAAATTATAATATGATTATTATTCTACTTGATCTACTCTTGCCTTGTGTATCAGTAAAATGTAATAATGCTAATCGATAAGGATTACGATGTATATCATTTGTAAAATGATTACTTAGAATTAAAAGTAAATGAATACTTTGATTTGATAAATGACGATTACGAAGATCTTTTATTGAATCAATTGATGTTGCTGTTCCTTCGGTAGCAGTTGATGTCGATGATGAACTCATACCAAGTGTAACTACTGACCATAGACTACCTATTGTTTAATTATATAAAATAATCAATTGAAAAAGAAAATATTTATTTATTGTTAATTGTAAAAGAATCTTAATTTGAGATTATTTTCCAAAAAAAAAAAATTTTCAATAGAACGAGCATAATTAATTTTCAAAGAGTAGATTTTCTAATCTCTTATTAGCTTATTCTATAAAATACAAATACGATACCTACAAATAGAATTGATTAAGTCTTTAATTGTTGAACTCTCAGATAAGCTGATTCAATTATGTTTTAGATTCTAATCTAATGAGTAATATCCTGAAAACTGATTTTCAAACTATGATTTGAAACTTTTCACAAAGATAGGCCTTAATAAGAACAGTTTATTGTAAAAATTTCAGATCTTTTTGTTATTCTTATTCTAAGATATGGCTATAACACATAGACGTCTTTTACATGGCTTACATACATCGATAGATTCACTATACTTATTTCAAGATAGGAGCACATCAAAAGATTTGAAACTTTCACAATAAACTATCTTCATTAGAGTTTTTCTCTATGCAGAGTTTCAAGTCGAAATTTTAGTGTTCTTAAGAGGGATCACAACATTTAGTTAACAAATACTGCAAAAAGCGCAGTTTCTTAGCATCAATAAACTAAGGATTCGAACGCTTTTTAAGAGTATTCATAGCTCATTGGGGTCTACATCATGCACATAGTTCCGATTCATAAGTGATTAATTATTTAGTACATTTCCTTCGTAAGACAAATGTGTTAGATCTTCTGAAATTCAGAATTCTACAATACACTTTGAAATAACACATCATAATATATTTCATTCAATGAGAAGATTTATACTAAAGAATATTACTTTGTTATAACACCTAAATTTTTGAATATTCCTATAAATTTTCGTTCTTTTTTTTTTCGGCTATTTTGAAATCTTGAGTCAAAATTATTCAAATTATAAAGCCAAACAGTTTTTTTCTTTTTAGTTTATCATATAAATAACCGTTTAACTTTTCCTATGTTTTATTTATTTGTGAGCTATGCAATTAAAAAACAATCAAATTTGAATTATTCTATTTAAAATAAACGTGAACATATCATAAAACATACTTGCAACAGTTTGTCCAATTTTAAATAAACTTCCACTCTCATTCTTTGATCCATCAGTTGAATCAGCTGCTAAAAATGGTGGACATTCGATTTGTTTAATAAAATGTTCTAATAAAGTTCGTGTAAATTCCGATATTAATAATGGACTAAAGAATTATTTATTACAAAAAAAAAAAATTATTTTATTTGAAAATAAACAATCATACATACTCAAGTCTATGCATAAAAATACTATAAATCGAACTAATAAATATAGCTTCTTTTGCACACATTTGAATAGATAATAATGAAAGTAATGTATTTAATACTTCCAAATGTAAACCATATGTAGATGAATCAACAGGTAACATAATTGTAGTTCGAAATAATGTATCAACAAATATAGTCATTAATGATATACGTTCAGTAGAAATATCTTGTGGTAAAAAATATGGATAAAAATTTTGTTCAGAATCAATTTCAATAAAATATTTTGTTATTAAACGAAGAATAAATAAAGAATTATATGTTTGATGTATAATAATATTACTAAAATATGGATGAAATATGATTTGTAAATAAAAGAACGTCATCGAATCTAATGACCTATGTTGAACTAGCATAGCATATATGTGGTTTTATAGAACAATTTGCGGTGCATTGAATGATATATAATAAATCAAGTTTTATGAGAATTGTGATTTCTAAGATAAACATTGTTTTCAAAACTTAATTCGATACAGTTATAGGTGCTCTTCAATTTTCTATAATAGTTTTCATCGTTGTTTTCTTCAGACTTAAAAATGGTTCATTTTCTTAGATATAGGTTAGTTATTGACTATATGATATTTCAGTGTGTTCAATTATGTACCACAGAAGAAGTGAAATAGATAACATCAGATTCATTACTCCCTAGAATAGCCTATTTTTTCTGTATGAAGTGACCGGCACATTAACGATGTTTTAACAATACTTAATGGTCCTATTAAAAATTTTTATGTAACAATCATCAGTACAGCATCCCTAATAAACTGATATAAATAAGTCATTTATAAACGGAAATTTTATTTTTGAAATAAACATGAGATATACATAGATTCTTCTAGAACTTCATGTATATATCAAACTTGGGTATTCAGAATAAAAATAACAGATCTCCTTCCTGCAACAATATTCTCGAATTCCCTCCAGGAAGTATGGAAACTAAAATTTTGTTTTTTCGTTTATGAAGGAGTTATTTATATTAGTTCATCAGGGATGATGTGTTGATGATTGCTACATAAAAAATTTTAATCGCACTGTTGAGTATCATTAAAATATCTTCAATAAAAGATGTTACCTCTGAAATATAGAAAGTATGATAGTGTGCAATTTTTGGCAAAGTTTCACGTTGGTACTCACTTATTCTGTGGTACGGAATTGAACACACTAAAATATCATATAGTCACGAAATAACCTAGATCTAAGAAAATGGATCATTTTTAGGTATGACGAAAGAAACGATGAGAACTATTGATTGTAGAAAATTGAAGAGCATGTAAAACTGTATTGAATTGAGTTTAACACAAAGTTTGCACAAGTTTATCTCAGGGACCACAATGTCTATAAGTACCACATGTATTTCTGAAAGAATATAACTAGTATATAGATCATAATTTGAGGAAAATTTGATTTCATATATACTAGTCAATGCACCGCAAATTGCTCTACAAAATCAGATATATTGTACTCTGGTTCAACATAGATCACCAAATCCGACGGAATCTTTTTTTTTTTTTTTTAAACATACTTATTATATTCATCACGAATAACATTAGCTAGACGATTAAATACTTCAATTAATGTTCCATAATTATTTGTTTTCGGATTATTTAATACGAATTGTTGAAGATAAATTAAACATGATTCATCAAGTAATTTTGAATGTGCTCTAAAATAGATACAAAAATTTTTTTTTTCTCTTGTATGTATTTTGGATTGATAAATGAAAGTATTATTACGTTGTGAATGGAGATTGTAGACGAAATGAGAGAAATTGATTCCAAAATGGATCATTTATTAATATAGACTCTTCACTAATGAAACGGGATAAATATTCGTTGGATTTTAGATCATTTAAGGAAGAGTATTGTGCACCCATTTTGAGATTTAAGAAACGCGTTTTAATAGAATACAATATTAGATAAAAACATCGTTAATCGCACGCGATAGATGATGCATTCTTGCCAACATATAAACACTCTTATGGTCACATATTTGTGACCAATAAGATAATCATTAGAGACCTTCAACATATAAACATAAAATATATTGAATTTGTCTTGGAAATAATAAAAATTAAGACTTAAGAAGTGAGTAAAATAATTTAAAATTATATATTTGTTAGTCCATCGATACAGATGGCGCCAGTAGATGATGTAGAATAATGTGCTATATTGTTGGAGAAAATCTTACGGTGGAATATCATCGAGAAAATCTCAATAGAGAAGAAAAGAAAAAGAACTCGTTCTATGAATGTGGTGAATCATTTTATTTTCTATAGTGTCTTTACTCTATCAAGTTTTATTTTAAGGACAAGCATGAAATCTATATTGTCTAGTAGAATGTAAAATGGTATTCAAACAATTTATTCCATTTTGATTAGTAAAACTACGCTGTATGTTCATCCCAGATTGATTGTCAAGAATTAAAAGATATGTATTATTAAAATTAAAAATGTCCAAAAGAAAATAGATCCTCACATGATGAAGACCATTATTAATTGTATTCAAAAAAGCGATTATTGTTCCATACGATTTGCATGTCTCGTTTCTTAGTTTTCTGCATATCTATAGAACAACAATAAATCAGATAATTGAATAAAACATTTTATTGATTCTTGTCTCGTGTTTTTATCGTTGGCAACAATGTAGTTTTGACTGATGAATGGACGCAAAAAGGCCTATTGTTGAAATGGTATCAAAAATTAAGCACATCAATATAGAAATAGTCTCGTTTAAGAACGAGAAAAGTTACATCGATCTCATTCACATTACGTTTTAAGAAAGAAATCATTCTTTTAGTTCATCAGTAGTCAACAATTATTATCTGAATAGGAGTGTTAGTGAGGGTTGCCCACATCATTACTCGCACAATTAAAAATTTGGCTATATATTGATAAATCAGTACGCTCTACCATGTTGAATAGTTTTCACGCAATTCTAAGACTATCGATTGAACACTCCTCTATGGCACTAGGTCGTCTCTCTCTTCCTATGACTCTTGTGTAAATCTTTCTTTCACGTGTATGTTAGAGCGACGGCATAATACCAGTGACTGTATTTATTAGCGCATGACCCTATCTATTCCTTAATTGATCACATTTTTCATTCGACATTGAAAAAGATTCTCCAACTAGAGTTGTGCTCACAGGGAGTAATAGATTAAGAAGCCTTTAATATATTGCATACACTAAGCAGTGCGTGCTCTATTATTACAGTTTCTGCGAAAATAGATAGAAATTTTTCAATAAAAAGGTCCCTTGTACTTGAAATAAGTTCTGGACTCAAGGAAAAGTTCATTTCATGACATTTAATTCAAGTTCCAGTTTGTATTATGCAAAAGTCAAGTTGCGATGATTCTATTACAGGTAGCTAACATAACTCATGGCAAGAAGACACAAAAAAAAATTGAGGCTGGTGCAACATTTTCCTCACTAGCCATAATCTATTCCATAAGAGAATTTCAGTCTTCTATCAGTATACTATGGAAAACTACATGTAAGCAAGTGAACGTCTTATGCAA